GTGGTGGGTTTGATCTCAGGATAAGAAACAAGTGACCACTCAGAATCCCATTGAAAACAAAGAACATCTGTTTCGTATTATGAGAAATAAGTGTTTGTGTTCTATGAAGAAACATGCATTTAGCTTGTGATTGTAACAACACATATTTGTAAAAATACATTTATGATAATTGATAAATTCATTTTCATCTGTGTGCCTGGTCTTCAACTATCTATTACCTGTGTAATGCTGCATCCCCCCACTAAAGAGGAACAATAAGTCCTATAAAAGTATATTAAATACTCACAAACCACTCATCTCATTGACCCTAGAGCTATCAATGTGTTTTAAAAAGCAGGTCTATCTGCAGAGAAGCACTCTGTAAAGTGTACTGGGTTATATTCCTCCAACTGATCAGGCCAGTCTCCTTTATTACAATAATGCTTGAAAATTACATATATTTTAGCAAAAAGTAAATAGTGATATGCTGCCAAATATGATTGAAGTTGAGTGCTTTAGTTAAAGGAGAGTGCCCCTTTATCAAGGAATTATTAATTTTAACAGAAAAGTTACGCCAGGTCTCTTTACTTCCTACGATGAATTTGACAAGGTAGAAAATTCCTTGATAAAAGCAGAAAGTAATAAAACACAGAGCGCTCCTTAAAGTTCAACCATTTCCAAAGGAGGCAGAACCATTACTGGGGAATTTCCTGTAGTAGAAGCATGACTGCCCTCAAAAATGTTAGGGCCCCTTACATAGCTCAAGGCCTGGGCCCCTCAGGGTACCTCAAGTCCACTCATGGGGCCTACCCATGAGCCACCCTGTCATGCGAGTTACGCCAGGTCTCTTTACTTCCTACGATGAATTTGACAAGGTAGAAAATTCCTTGATAAAAGCAGAAAGTAATAAAACACAGAGCGCTCCTTAAAGTTCAACCATTTCCAAAGGAGGCAGAACCATTACTGGGGAATTTCCTGTAGTAGAAGCATGACTGCCCTCAAAAATGTTAGGGCCCCTTACATAGCTCAAGGCCTGGGCCCCTCAGGGTACCTCAAGTCCACTCATGGGGCCTACCCATGAGCCACCCTGTCATGCGGTATCTCTTCCGGGTTCGGCATTCCGCTATGCGGAGCCGGCCCCGGCCCCGCCCCCTTCTGATGCGGCTCTCTGACACTACTTAGAGAGACCGCGCTAGAGAGAAAGCGCTTGGTAATTGTGGGACCTACTTCCGGGTATAGACGCCGGCTCCACAAGCTTCTCTCACAAGCCTTCCAAAACCTTTGAAGATAAAAGGATTATGCTTCATCCGCTAGAGGATTACTGGAGAACGGACACTTTACCATTTAACAAGTGGACTCTAATACTGATCTCGTGGAGGACAACTCATATTAATCTTAAGTATAACTTCCAATTTATTATCTGGAATCTCAGTTTTTAATGAACTGTTTCTTGCTTGCTCAAGTCCTCTCTGCTGCATACACACTAATTATATTGAGGATAACTCCCATCAAGCTTAACTACTATGAACCGTTTCTTGCTTTGCAAATATTCTCTGCTACCTACATACTATTTCTATTGAAGATTATTCCTATCAACCTAAAGAATATTATTCAATACATCTCTGAGGAAATACTTACTAATGAACTTTGTATTGTTTGCTATAACCAGCAATTTCTTCTTATTGAATTATTACCTATATGCTTTTCACTTAAGTTTATCACAATCATTAAAACTTTGTTTGATTCTCTAATTGCCAGCAATCCTCTCTTTTCTTAAAGCTACAGTATTGATAATTTAAAGATCCTCAGTTTCTTCACTATTGTAATTAAGGAGTTCTACAAGCTGCAGTTGAGTTCCAATTCTAAAAACCCTTGTAGTATAACACACCCTACAAGGATGCAGTGTGTGTGTGTGTGTGTAAGGAATGTAGTGTGTGTGTAGAGTGGATGTAGTCAGTGGTGTATTTCGATTTTGTGCTGCCCTAGGCATGACGAAACTCGGCACCTCCCTAATTTAAATTTGCCCTATCCCTTCCTGTCAAGACCACACCAAGATCCTATTAAGATCCACCCCTTTCTTTTCAGGCTCCTTCTTTTTCTCTTCCTCACTGTACTTTAAAAGTGGATAACGAGAGCCCGTATATACACCCATATATATTGTGTGTCAACTGCAGTGTCTGTGTTTGTAGTGGATGCAGTGTGTGTAGTGGATGCAGTGTCTTTCTTTGTAGTGGATGCAGTGTGTGTAGTGGATGCAGTGTCTGTGTTTGTGGTAAATGCAGAGTGTGTATTTGTGTAGTAGATGATGTGTATAGTGAATGCTGAATGTGTGTTTGTGGAGTGGATGCATGTCGATAGAGGCTGCACTCTGTGGGGAGAAAAGGCTTCTTTTTTTATATAATTTTAATACATTTAGTTTTATTTCCCCCTCCATGCTTTTTACCTGTGACCAGGGAGAGAGGACATAACACTCTTTGGTGGTCCGGTGGCATCGTGCAGCTTGCCAGGCTTCCAGGCACCTGTATAGTGAAGAGGGGGCCAAGCAAACCATGATCTTCAGCTTTCAGCTACTCCTCTCTCTGGCTTTTGTTGGAAAGAGGAGCTACCAGAAGCTGATATTCACATTTGCTGGGTCCCCTCTTCACTACACATGCTGCTGGGGTCACACAGGGGCACATATATAGCAATAATCAATATGTAAATACACAAGATCCAGCGCACTCACCTATCCACTAAACAGCAACTTCCATGTTGAAAGATTTTATTAGTTTTTTGTTTTTTTTAAACACCTAATCTAGGCAAAAATAATGGGGGTTTAGTTACATTATATGATCATACATTGCATAAGCCTGCCACAACGTCAATGTACCCCATCTTTGGCAGGTCCTACACTAACAGCCTAATGTCTGCTCTTATGAGATTAACCTACTTGGGGAAAGAAATTCCATCTGGGGCTCTCTGCAGTACAAGGCTAAATAGGACCCTGGGATGAGGCACCTGTGACAGGGAGGGGTGCAAAACCAAGGAGTTGGATAGACTCCCAAATATATATATATGAAACAAGGGGGGGTTGGCTGCACTCACCTGAACATGCATAAATATATATATGTGCACATTGGAAATGAGGGCTACGTTCAGCCATGTGGGCTGTACCCTCGTGATGGTGGCCCTGACAGCAGCACCACCCACAAAAAAAGACTCAGGTGGGCTCCATTGGCTAGTAAAGTTGCAGTTTTGTGTGGGGCATTGCAGATGGGTGCTTGGTGGCAGATTTTTTACCGACCCCTGGAAAGTGCCACCCAGGGCATAACCTTGTTGGCCTCATCAGTGATACAGTGCTGGATGCAGTGTGTGTGTATAGTGAATACAGAGTGTGTATGTGTTTTTGTGTGTGTAGTTGATGCAGAATGAATGTATAGTGGATGTAGAATGTATATATAGTGCATTCAGCATGTGTAAAATGGATGCAATGTGTGTGTAGTGGATGTAGTATGTGTGTGTTTGTTTGTTTAGTGGATGCAGTGTGTGTAAATTTGTGGGGTAGGATAGGGGATGTGTTCTGTGGGAAGTAATACTTTTTTATTTTATTTATTTTTAGAATTCTTTATTTTAATTTTTTTTCAGTGCAAATGAGCTAACAAAAGCTAGCACATGTTATCAAGAGAATAAAGTCATAGGAACAGGCACTAGACAAATCTGAACATGGTAATGGAGTATAATAACATTGCACACTCATGAGTGGGCTAGGCAGTTATAAGAGTCAACAACTTATAGGAACTTCAATACTTGGGTCGCTCCGTGTTAAAGCAACTATGCAGTAGTTTCACATTAGTGGTAGGCTAGCTGTGCGCCGTGGCATACACACAATCCATGGGGCCTTAACAAAGCTTTATGATGAATATGTACATTATAGGTACATTATAGAGCAATGCACAAACTAATATAATAATGCAGAATGCTGAAAGAGTGTGATGTTTAGTGTTTTGGGGTGTCCCTCCTCATTCAATTATATTGTTTGTATATTGATTTTTTTTGTCATATTGTATCCTATTGTAAAAATGCAATGTTTTGAGGACCCAGGACATACTTGAAAACAAGAGAAATCTCAATGTATCCTTTCTGGTAAAATATTTTAGAAATAATTTATCTTAAATCTGGTAAGTCTCAAATATCGTATCCTTTGTGTTTTTAGTGGGTACTATATTCCTTGTACAAGTCTATTTTTTCTGCTCACTTTGCATGGTTTAACCATTCATATTTGTATTGCAGCCTAAAAATATTCTATAATTTGTGCCCAGAGCCCTTCCGAAGTTCATATTCACCTGACAGCTATTTAGATTGATCACTTTGAGTGGGTGTTTTTTATGTTTTGCTGTGCAGTACAAACCATGTCCATGCATAAACCTTTGTAGTTAGTGAATGGGATAAAAAACACTGTAAATGTCCTGTGTGTATCCTATGCTAATCCCACGTGAAGATCATAAAGATAATCCATTGAGATTTAGAATGTATACATTAGTGAGATAGAACATAGGATTTGGGTTAATTAACCCTTCTGAGGGATAAATGTTAAAAAAAATTGTGAATTATCTTGTAGAAGAATTCGATATTAAGCTCTGTTTAATTTCCTTGGTTAATTTGCTGCATTAAGGTTCTTGTGTAACACCAAGACATTATTTTTTATAAATTATGACTTTAGTCAGACTGTCCAGCTTACATTTCTCAATAAAATATAGACATTAAATCAAAGAATAACCTCAGGTTACTAATGTGTATCTCAACCTACTGAAACGGCTTTGTAACGTCTGTGTTTTTTTTTTATAGAGCTAGAATATTGGTATCTACGAACGACTTGCACATTAAATTACAAAGATACTGTGATGGACCGCTGGTGTGCCGTAACTTGGGCACCGGGGGCTACTTTGTTTGGGTGGGCTCCGGTGGGGGGGGTGGCTATTTGGATCGCACGGACTTGGACCTAGCTACAACATGGAGAGACAAGATGGTGCCAGGCAAGAGACTGTGTGGCAGGGAAATCATCCTCTGGTGTGCTCTCAGCTTCCGACAAAGCCGTGGAGTAGGCCGCGGTCGGCACCATCTTGGGTTGCACGGAGTGCTGCGGCTGTCTGAATAAGCTTCCAATATCTCGGCAGCTGATCCCGGGATCTGCTCGCTGCTTTTTGGAGCGGCGCCCCATGTTCCCTGGACCCGGTGGAGCTCAGCTTTGGCTTTGTATGTGCCCAGTGGGTCGGTATATTTGCTGTTTAATCAGCCGGCGGCTGAGGATGCGACCGTCTCGCATGTGCGCTGGCTCCACCCCGTTAACCTTTCTTAGTAGCTAAATGTTCCATTCCTTTTATTAATTTTGTAGTCCATCTCTGCACTTTTTCTAGTGCAATAATATCCTTCTTCAGGACAGGTGCCCAAAACAGCCTGGCAGGTTTCACTCATATGTTCATCCAACTGGACTGATTCCGTTTCCCCTTTTGTCGTTATAGGTGCAGGAAAGCGAGTATGGGTCATCGGCCATTCATACATCAATCGGGCACATCTGCAGGCTCAAGTTCGCCCCGGGGGACTACAATTGGGCCTGTCGCCAGCAGTGGCAGAAGTCCATTGGTTCGGTACCCGGGTGATGTGGTGGGAGCAGCTGTTGTCTGAAATGGTCTGTATATCCGGCCTGCTCAGTGTTCTTGATGTCATTTTTATACATGCTGGGGGAAACGATCTTGGCACTGTTCCGGTGTGGGATATGGGGAGAAGATCCAGAAGGATTTGGGGGAGAAAGGGCTCCGATTTCCAAGGGTGTTTTTAATATTGTCCGAGGTGCTGTCTTAGAATCTCTGGCAGGGGGCTAGGGACCCCAGGACTTTGGAACGTGGCAGAATGAAGCTCAATAAGAGGGTTTCACATTTTTGAACCTAATGCTTCTATTTATTTTATGAGTGATAGGGTCCACCTGATGAATGTTGGGCTGGATTTATTTAATTTAGCTTTGCTGGAGGCTTTAGAGGAGGCGATGGCTGTGGTGTTGGGGCAGCCCCGCTGATTTTGGAGGTAAACCAGCCGGCATGTGGCAGTATATGGCCCTTGTTCCTACCCGAACCTTAGGTACAGTGATGGATAACAGACATGCCCACTGAGCCAACTAACCAGCTGGTGGTTATCATTAAGTAATGGTAGGCAAAAGAAAAGGCCTTGTACTGGTTGGAACAAGGGGGGAGGGAACAGCTGCCCTTTAAGCTATGTTTGGTTGGCAAGGTGGTACTCAGTGACGTATCTATTTTCTGAGTTATTATGTATATAGTGTTTTATGTTATAAAGTTGAAGTTTGAATATTTATATATATGTATTTTAATAAAGCTGTGGCCTATTTTAATCCAAAGCAAGTCTGGTGTGTTTTCATTGGAAGCAAAGGTTGGGGTTTATCAAGGATCAGGTTTATGCCCATACACAGTTACCCTTTAGCTACGTACATGCCCTTTTTCATGCATGACAATACCTTACTGGCCTCAGCTACTGCTGATTGACATTGCACATTGTTGCACAGTTTGTGTATAAAACAATTCCCAAATACTTTTTGTGTGTAGTTATCCCTAGTTATCCCTAATTCGCTTCCATTTAGAGTATACGTTTTTACATTCTTTATGCCGAAGTGCATAACTTTGCATTTTTCTATATTAAATTTCATCTGCCATTTGAGTGCCCAGTCCCTCAGTCTATCTAAATCCCTCTGCAGCAAAGTAACATCTTGCTCACATTGTATTACTTTAGTTTTGTGTCATCTGCAAACATTGAAACATGACTTTCAATGCTTTTTTCAAGATCATTTATAAACATGTTAAATAGAAGGGGTGCCAGAAAAGAGCCCTTAGGGACACCACTTACCAACTCTGCCCAGATTGAAAACTTACCATTAATGACAACTCTTTGTACTCTATTTTTAAGTTCAATGTTCTACCCAAGAACAAGAATTTTCATTTTCGTTTGTACACTAATCTATTGTGTGGAACTGTATGAAATGCCTTGGCATAATCCAAATAGATCACATCCACTGCAACACCCTGATCTATAATTCTACTTACGTCTTCATAGAATGCAATCAAGTTAGTTTGATATAACCTGTGCTTTATAAAACCATGCTGATTTTTTTCTGATAACTGCACTCTTTTCAAGGAATTCTTGAATGCTTTCCCTTAACCTTTCAAATACTTTCGCAGCCACAGAAGTTAAGCTCACAGGTCTATATTTTCTAGGCAAGGATTTTGAACCGTTTTTGAATATACCAACCACATCTGCCTTCCTCCAATCCTCCGGAACACTTCCTGAAAGAAAAAAATCTTGAAAGATTAAAAACAGAGGTTCACTTATTTCCACACTTAGTTCCTTAAGTACTCGTGGATGAATATAGTCAAGTCCTGGAGCTCTGTTTATATTAACTTTCTTTAGTTGCTGCTGCACCTTGTTTTGAGTCATCCAATCAAAATTTTTTGCAGAAATCATTTGCACATCTATTGCCATAGTTTTTTCCTTAATATATAATGAGGAGAAATAGTTATTTAAAATTTCTGCCTTTTCATGGTCTTCATTAACTATTAACCCATCCCAGTTTTTAGTGTACATACACTTTCATTTTTTGTTTTTTTAGAATGTATGTACTTAAAAATGCTTGGGGGTGGAGCCACACCACCATGCTGCATGGTAGAACAGTGTCATGATTCTCACTGTGCCATCCAGACATAGCTGCTTCACAAGTACCAGACAAGGGATTTGAACTGTAGTCCTTCTGTACTGTAGTACTGCTGTCTTGCCTCTGAGCCACACTCTTCAGCCTATGTTTATCCTTACCTTGTCTCCAGCACTATCTAAGCTCACCTGAAGCAGATCATTAATTAGCTGGGTATACTAGCACTGCCTCACCCTGGGAACTTTGTCAGTTCATTGACTCTGGTTCACGTTATTGGTTCTTGTTACTGTGTGTTCTCCAGATTGATTCCGGTACCTGACCTTGGCTTTTCTCATCGTTTACTCTGACTTCAGCTATACCTTGACTTCTCTTCTGCTTGTGTCTTTGCCTGTCCTGTGATTCAGAGCACGTTACCTGCACAGCCCCTGTGCACAAACTCACAGCCCAGATGGCTTCTTATCTGGTCACCTTGGTCTATGTTTATTTGCAAGGGTATAACTCTGCACATCAGACTCCACATCAGGTAAGATCCTGACAAACAGCTCCCATGAGTTTTATACCTTTTGGTTCACAAATGCTGCAAAACCCCTCATATGACACTGAGCGACAGTTCAGTGCACTGTGGGGTGCTGGTTCTGAAGTTCGACCTGAAACTTGTCTCATGGTCCTTTGCGTGGAGATATTAACCCTCCATGATTGCGGCCTATCCATGTGGTGGGTGGGGTGGACGGCCACTGCCCTGCTATCCTGCATGTCTGCAACAAGTCGGACACTTCAAAAGTGTCGGCCCTGTTACCCCCTCTCTGGTCCAGTGGGGGGCATCCCGGTTCACCCTGGTGCCCTGCTGTCGGCCCTGATGGTTGGTGGAGTCACCCACATCACAAGATGGCTGCCGAGCCTGCCACGCAACACACAATCTATGCTTGTGAATGCTGTTGTGGCTTATCAAGCTTTCTGTTATCATCTGCACGCCATAAATAAAGAATATTAAAAATGCGTTGGGGTTGGTTTTGGAATCATTGGACTATCACTTTTTCATTTTGTAGTTTGTGAATCTAATCACCTTTTGCACACATTACTGGCTTCCTTATATGTTTTATAGAATGGCTCTGATTTATCTAATTTAAATGCTTTGAATGCCCTTTTCTTATTTTTAATTTCTTGATTCACTTTCCCACTAAGCCACATTGGTTTCAATTTGTTTCTTTTATATTTATTACCCAATGGTACATACTGAGAAATGTACCTTTCTAATATTTGTTGGAAGATTTTCCATTTATCCTCAGTGTTTTATCCTCACTCTTTTCACTAAAGAGTTTATGCCAGTCAATATATTGTAAAGCTGCCCTTAACTTGTTGAAATTGGCCTTTTTAAATTATATGTTTTAGTATTCCCCATGTGCTTTTGGTTTTTTGAGTTTATTTCAATGGACACTATATTGTGATCACTATTTCCCAAATGCTCCCCTACTTGAATGCTGGTCAAAAGATTAACGTTGTCTGTTAGAACCAGGTCCAGACAAGCATCCTTTCTTCTAGTTGGTGTTTGTACAAGTTGTGACATGAAGGTGTAATTTAACAAGTTCAAAAACCTAATTCCCTCTGCTGAACTACTAGTCCTTCTGTACCAATTTATGTCCGGGCAATTAAAATCTCCAATAATTAATGTGCTACCCAGAGTTGCAACTTTCTCAATTTGTTCAAATATCTGTTGTTTCTCATCAATATTAACATTAGTTGGTTTATAACATATCCCAACCAATAATTGATTTCCCTTCTTTTGCCCCAAGCAGATATTTACCCATAAAGCTTCCACATTTTCCTCATCACATTCCACTTGTTATTTGATATGTTTACCTTTTATGTACTATACGTTACTAAAAGTATAGACCTATCTCAGTTGTTGTTATTATTGTAGATATGATACACATCCTGACGAGAGTGTTGTGGCATATCATTGTGCTAACTAAAGGGACAGTATAGGCACCCAGACCACTTCAGCTCATTGAAGTGGTCTGGTGGCAGTGTCCCATCACCCTTCACCCTGAGCATATAATTATTGCAGTTTTTAATAAACTGAAAAAATGATCTGCTAGGGTTAACTCCCCCTATACTGGCTGGGATATCAGCACTGGTCCCAGGTAAAAGACAGAAGGGGTTATTAACCCCTTCTGCACCACAGGGGGTTGGCGGGAGCAGGGGGAGGTCTTGACAGAGGGGGAAGCTATAGTGCCAGGAAAACAAGTTTATTTTCTTGGCACTATAGTTTACTTTAAGTACCTTATCTTGCACTCTATAGCATGTCTTAATTTTTCTTAATTCTCATTTATATGGCGCAAGTTTCCTTGCTCTGAATAAGTGTAAGCAACTTATTTTGCAATTCAATCAGCCTAGAATCTAATATAATATCTGGGTACGTAGATAAGGTGCCTAGCGTTGTTTTCTATTAGTGCTTCAAACCGCACCCCAAACAAATTGTTAGCAATATCCTAATTTGCTCCGTACTTGTA